AAAAAAAAAAAAAAAAAAAAAAGCTATTGTTAGCACAGGTACTATTCCCAGCTTAATGGGCTGTCAAAAAAGAAAAAGAAAAAGAAAAGATTAAAATTCAATGAACTCACCCACTCGACATCGCGGATCAAATCCGCACCTCTATACAACATTGATCGTAGGATCTCTGTTGTCATGATCAAGCAAGGAGCCTCAGGCCTGATGCTGATATCACCAGTGAGAAGCCCGACGTCAAACTTGCCGCTGAAGTCACGGAACTTTTGGTTTGATATGGTCTTGATTGGTGACGTGTATATCGCACGAGTACAATGCTAGAAAAGAACCACACCCACACACACCCCACCCCCCCAAAAAAAAGGAACAAACGAAATAATAAAAAACAAAGAAAGGAACAGCGCAAGCACACAGAAGGGTGACGGCAAGGAGACAACGTCAATCCTTATCGACTTAGAAATTAGGATGAGGTCCTAAAGGACCTAAACCAAACCTATATTTTGTTGAAAAAATGTGAAAAAAAAATAAAATGGTGGCGGCGCCTTAACGGCTTTCTTGATTCCAAGAAATGCAGAGGTCAAGGGAGGGGAGGAGGAGAAGGGGAAGGGAAGGGAGGAGGAGAAGGGAAAGGGAAGGGAGGAGAGGATGGAGGCAGTAAGGAGAGAGGACGAGATCGACAGAGATGTGAGTAATACAAAGCAGAAGAGGAAGTGAGAAAGAAGGAAGGCGGACGCTAGCAGCAAGAATGACAAAAGTAAAAAAAAAGAAAAAAAAAAACAGTTAAGAAAACATGAACTATCATGCCGACGGTCAAGTTCACATACCTTTCTCGGCCTTTTGGGTAAAAATAGATCAAGCGTAGTATCTGTTTGGATCAGTTTAATATCTGATCCGTGGTCTCTCGGCCCACACACACACACAAAAAAAAAAAAAAAAAAAAAAAACTATCAAGTTCGTATCAAGTCATTGGCTCTTTTTTCTTTTTTTTTTTAATCACATAGTATCAAATTAGTAAATTACCAAAAACTTCGCTACTATCAAGTTAGCATCATCTTGGTAGTATCACCTGCTATATCAACTTATCAAGGAAGTGTCAATTTTTTTAATTTTTCTTTCTTTCTTTTTTTTAATATATTTTATCGACCAATCAAGTAGTATTCAATAATTCATGCAATAACATGCACGTGAGCATCATGCCAAATAGCATAACACAACAAGACAGTTAGTAGCTGTAAGCTACATTAGCAAAGGTAAAAACATCATCGTCCATAGCATGGTTGCTCGTGACGACGTCATGAAGCACAGCAGCTAAGTCCCAGTGCGGACACCACCATCGCCGACCCTAACCATCCCTCTGACCGCCTCCCGTCTGCTACTGACTCCAAGCACGCCAGGTGCGAACGGAGTCGGACCGTCACATTCAATCTATTAATACATGTTGGCATCTGCATCAAAAAGCTACCGTCCGTAATTTCCTGTAGGCACCCGTTATCCGCTCAGGACCGAGTTCCCACGTTCTGGTACCGCAAGGCCTTGGGCCAAACGGAACTAAAAACTGGTCCAAACGGCTGGGCTGGTCCCGCCTCTGACGCAGGTCGAAACCGAGGTCATCCTAATCTACCCTCCCTCAAACAAGTACTCATAACTTAACTGGTCCAAGCGACCAGGCTGGTCCCGTCTTAGACGCAGGTCGAAACCCAGGTCATCCTAATCTACCCTCCCTCAAACAAATACACCTGCTTTCACACAAACCAATTCCCCAATCATCTTCCACA